CACCTAAAAGGCACTAGAGTATGCACTGTATGTGAAGGGAACGCTGGTCACCTAATTCTACATTACACCTGAAACCTGGCGGGTCCCTGGCACCGAAATTATGTTTTACAGTCTGTAGACTTAGCAAACCGTGTGAGAGTGTGAATGGACATGAGGGCTGCGTACTATTTTGAAGAGTGAATGGTGATGAAAAGACACGCATGGCAAAATGGTGGTCCGTATACCGTATACCCGCCCAGACAGCGTTCTGTAAAGTTCAGGATTCTTTCACACACGCATGGATCCATACACTCACCTTGCGAATTGCCGTAAATAGGTGCAAGTGTGGGTGCAATCATTGAGTAGGCTGTACGCAGGAATGCAAATCAGAAAGTACATGAGTTCACAAAACAATACTCTTGGTAGTAATGCTATGTTATGGCTGTGTGTGTGTGTGTGTGTGTGTGTGTGTGTGTTTGTGTGTGTGTGTGTGTGTGTGTGTGTGTGTGTGTGTGTGTGCGTGTGTGTGTGTGTGTGTGCGTGTGTGTGTGTGTGTGTGTGTGTGTGTGTGTGTGTGCGTGCGTGTGTGCGTGTGTATGTGTGTGCGTGTCCATATGGTACAGTGGTATGTGCAGCGATTTCCAATCGATAGATTGCGGGTTCGATTCCCGACGATTATGGTCACACACGTCTTCGTCAGGCGAAATAGCACGTCATAGTACATTTGAGATCAGCGGGAAGAAGATGACGACGTCCACTAATTTAGTATCTGTGCACACGAATCTGCTGTGTGTGTGACTCTGTGTGTCAGCTATGATATCATCTTCTGTGGTTCCATGCCTAGCATGTACGTCTGAACCATCCTGCAAAGTTTGAATGACGTAGGTTGAGCGATCGCTCCGCGAAACATACTTTTTGAAATTCTCTTCATAGCATATCTTCCACCATTGAAATTTCGAATTTCTTCAAAAAAAGTGCTGAGAGGGGTGGCTTGCAACCTCGATATGGCTTGTTCTAGGCATGCTTTGGAGCCATCTTCTGTTGAAGTAGTGGCGGGGATCTGCCCTGCAACTGCTACAACAAAAAATGATTCGATCTGAGAAAGGGTGAGACCGCGAATCTCGGTTGAATATCGAGTATTTCTAGCCTTTTCACGACGAAGATCGAGTTCTTTTTGGAGATGGACGTCGCGGCAAAGGACATGGTGTCCGACTTCTGGCGTCTGGTGAAGCCAGGGATCATTTGTCCAGTCAGGTCGGCAGCCTAACCGTCCGTAAGCTTGTGTTTGGATCCCGTTCTGCTCGATGTGGTAGATCACAAACAATTTGATATCGCACAAATTGATCTCAGCATCGTGCGTACGGTATTTTATATTCAGAAAATTCCTAAGTGTCTCTGTGTGGCCGTCCTATGCCACGAGAAACTCCAATCAAGCTCCTATGTCCTCTGCCTTCATGATTGAATGTCCACTTCGTTCGAACAACGAACACAACAATCGAGGACGGCTTTGCAATGAAAAATACAGCTATCTGGAGCTGAAAAAAAGAAGAAAAAACGTGCTCAGGATGAGACTCGAGTACACGCATACTCTCCCAGCAGGTGAAACGCAATTTTTTTGTGAAAAATGCGTGTCGCCGACTGACCAGTAATTTCGCCTGACGTCTTCTCTTTCTCAGACTCTTCCTGACTTTTCTTTCATTCTCCTGGGTGGTTACCAACAGCCAGTGCATGCCGGAGTATGTGGTGTGATGTGTGTGCGGGGAAAAAATAACAATGAAAAGACCAAAAATAGGGATTCACTGGCCAGAAAAAGTCACTTCAAATAGCTGTATGGTGTAGACCAGGCTGAATAGTGATGGTCAATTCTTCAGCCTTGCAAGCTGTTGAATGGTGCAATCCCAGCACAAGTTGCTATGGCTTCTGCCGTAGCATTGCTATCATCGCCTCTGGCGATGGGCGTCAAAGGTCAAAGGTGTGTGTGTGAAGGGGGCGTGGTTAAAGACAGAAAATTATAAGTTTCCATGCATGGCAGGGTAAATGGAGTTAGCAACCCGTCAATATTCTTGGCATAGCCCAACACATGCAGGTGTGTCGGACACGGTACGGTCACTACGGTGTTGACCGCACCACTCTTTGCCCCCTGGGTACCTCGTGAATCAATGCAGTACACTGATCTGGGCTCTAGATTTCCAAAATTTTCGGTTCAGCCACCCCCTCCCCCACGAGTAAATTGTACCTCAGAAGGCTGACCGTACCACACTAAAATACCCTCCGACGCCCCTGACATTTACTGTAAACCGGGAAACTTTCGCGAGCGGATAATTTTCGCGAGTTTCGTGATCACCGCCAAAACGCGAATTCGAATCGCCGCAAACTGAAGATTTTGAACGGAAATACATGTACTGGTACCACCTGAAAAGACCAAATCGCTAAAATCTCCCCGTCGTTAACAGGGGCGTTTTTTCAAAACGCTAAAGTTGCACACCGCAAAAGTTTCCTGGTTTACAGCACTTTCTTTTAGAACTTACTTCATTGCATTGTTTGTACAACATGACCTTGTTGTGGCTTGCTGGTAAGTGGTAAGTATAATACAGATGGTTAATGCGGGTGACTGTGAGGTCCAGGTGGTTCTGGCATGCCGTGCACACTTGCATACACCTCCACAAAACGAACATATGTTGCACAATTTCCTGTGTTAGCGCGTGCCATGGTGTTGGCTCTTTGCCTTGGTGTGCAGGCAGCTCAGCAACTCCTTTCTCGGCCAGGTGCTGGAGGGACACTAGTGTATGATGCGACAAACTGTTTACGTTGACACAGACACTGACACCTAGCATATTATAGCGGAACGTCCTGCGCTCGTCAGCACTACTTTTTGACAAAATGCTGCGAGCGAACTGGCCCAACACATATTGTTCAGACTAGCCTCGTCCAGTTGCTTGATCGCTGCCGCTCTCTTCGCATTCAGGGAAGTACTCATCGTCGCCACTGCAGGGGACGGCGATGGCTGCTGCTGTCGGCGCCTGGCGGGAGTGTTTTGCTCATGGATAGTCGTCGTCGTCGTCGTCAGAGCTTGAGTCAGAGCTGTCGACATCTGCCGCTTCCGCTGAGGATCGACCGAAGAAGTCCTGGTCCAGATCCTACAGCTCCGCGAAGCTGGCATCGTCCAGATCGACTGCATCGATACTTAGTCTCTGACTGCTCATGATTGATGTTCCCCTGCCCTCTTCAAACTAGTCGCCGCCACTTGAACAAGGTGAGAACAAAGGTGACAAGAACCTTTTCTGTCGTCTCGATCGACTGCACGCGAGCTCAAAATCGAATCGAATTTTCAAAACTCGTTTTGTTTTTCGCTCATTCCGACGTTATCAAAACTCACTCTTAGTACGGTTTACTCAGCCGATTGCTCATATATTGTATGCAGCAATTGTTGCCTATGTCCTGATAATTATTTAAATACAACGTATAATAGCTCCCCAACGGGTCAACTTTTTTCGTGTGGTTGGCAAAGAGAGAAAACATGAACTCACCTGGCACGTAGAAGTACACCTCGGCAGCATACTGCGAGTTCACGACGACAGTCGTACTCAATAGGCGTACTCTAATGCTGTACACGCCTTCCGTCAAGTTTAGCGTGAGCATCGTATCGTTGCTGGACACATTGAAGACAATTTCTCTCTGGTACAAGTAGTTCTGCACCAGCCTGATCTCAAACAACTGAAGATCGTCTGTGAGCATTGGATAGAGGTCTGGAAGACGGATGACAGTGGCTGTCAAGTTACTACTGTCTAGTCTGCTGACCTGGCTGAATGGGTATGTGCCCCACTTCGGGTAGACAACACCTGGTTGGGCACAAACATCAGGAAAGGAGCATACTCGGCTGAGGGAATACCCTATCTAATATTCTTTAAACATACACATACACACTCATACAGACCTGTGCACCGACACGTTCCCACTCATACAGACCTGTGCACCGACACGTTCCCACTCATACAGACCTGTGCACCGACACGTTCCCACTCATACAGACCTGTGCATCGACACGTTCCCACTCATACAGACCTGTGCACCGACACGTTCACACTCATACAGACCTGTGCACCGACACGTTCACACTCATACAGACCTGTGCACCGACACGTTCCCACTCATACAGACCTGTGCACCGACACGGTCACACCCACCCACACCAGTGGCAATGCGACAATGCCGGGACACTCATATGTACACACATGCACACACGGACATGTATGTCCTGCCACTTCAAATACCCACACATACACACATGCATAGTATATATACGCACACGCACACATCAACATGCGCGCACTCACACACACGCACACACACACACACACACACACACACACACACACACACACACACACGCGCAACATACACACACACACACACACACACACACACGAACACACCAACAACCACCCACACACGCACAACCACCCACACCCACACGCACACACACGCACACGCACACACACACACACACACACACACACACACACACACACACACACACACACACACACACACACACACACACACACAGATACTTACACACACACGCCCACACACACACACACACACACACACACACACACGCATACACATACACACACACTGTTCATACCAGCTCACACGGACATGCCACGTCAGTCGGAAACAAACACGGAGAATGAAAGAAGAGCTAGGAGAATGAGAAAGGCAAGACAACCATGAATGCTCACCTGGCTGTTCATTACCCACTTCTAGTACAGCGAGCGTCTCACGTTGGATACGCGAACTACGGTTGAACTGTGCTGTAATGGTGTAGCGATAGAACTCCGACGAGTTCACCACGGCTTGGAAATAGCAGAACGGCTGGCTGGCAATGAAGGTCTCGTTGCCGTGTGCGAAATAGGGGGGGTCCGAAGTCACCAGGTATTCATAGCTGAGAAAGAAGAAATCTGGTCTTGCCGCCGTCAAGTTGGCAATGGTGTCGTTCGATTTGAACGTGACAACAT